TAAGTGACCTTAAAGTCCGGCCACCTTCCTCATGTAATGTAATGTGGCCGTAAAAGGAAAAGGGGAGATCTCCCGCCGGGCAAGGTGTTGTGCCCGGGGAGCGGCCAATGCTCCGTATAATAGTTTTTTTTTTGCGCCCGAAGCAATTAAAGGGCTACCCTATACGTAGGGAGGCGGAAAATGCATTACGCATACCACGATAGCCGGTCTATCGTGGTTATGAGGGACTCACATCCTACCGGGGAACCTAAGTGATACCCTCTAAAAACCGCCTTTAGGGACTGGCAACTGGCTGATTAAGCTTTATTGTGCCGTATCGGGAGCGACCCTCTTTTGGGAAAAGAGGGCGCAGGCGGCTACAAGCCGCTGAGGGAGTGCCTACGAAGGCAAATTAATTATGAATAAATAATTTAATTTAATTAGAGTTGGCCTGAGCCGCCAGGAGGCAGTTCAGGTCGTTTGATAGTTTATTAGGCGGGTCCGAGAGAGAGTTTCTCGGCCTGCGGACTCGATAGCGAGTGGGGGGTGGGGCTACATAAGTAGCTGCCTCACGAATAAAATGGTTGGAGTGCGACTCTGAGGCTTTGAAGAAGTTCTCAGAGTTTTTTGAGAAATTGTTGAATTGTAGTTAGCTCTAGGTCCCGATGAAGGTCGGCATTACGGACGTACCAAGGTGCGTTCGCAGCTCAACGACAGAAAAGGTTTTGAACTATTTGGAGTTCATTAATAATTTTTGGGTCGGCGTGGGCAAAAATGGGGCCCGCGTAGGACATGATTGGTCGTATACAGACCTTATAAAGGGTACGCTTGTTTCTGAGGGACATTTTACTGTGTCGGCCTAACATACTGTTGAGCCTACTCAGGTAAAAACGTGCGTGACGGGTTACTCTTTTGACGTGGGGCCTGAAGGTGAGTCTTGTGTCTAGAGTGACACCTAAATATTTGGCAGTCGTATGCCAGGGGACAGGGGTCCCTAGCATACGTATTGGTGGAGTGTTTTTGAGACGGCGTCGTTTATAATCGAAGTGAACGGCGGAGCTCTTCTCCGGGTTCACATCGATGCGCCATTTTTTGAACCAAGTTCCTAGGTCGTCAACTGACTTTTGAACCTTGTTCCGTATGAAAGGTAGCGAGATACCTTTGCAGTAGATAGCAGTGTCGTCTGCGAAGAGGGAGAGCTGAACACCTTTCGACGGGATGGGAATGTCGTTGGTGAACAGGATGTACAGCAGAGGAGCAAGTACTGAGCCCTGAGGGACACCAGCATTGATAGGGCGCTGTGAAGATAGCGTGCCTTCGTGTCTAAAACGAAAGGTACGATGCTTTAAGTAAGTGGCCACGAGACGTACTAGACGATCGGGGAGACCTATTTTGTAGTTTGTAGATAAGGCCTATATGCCAGACTCTATCAAAAGCTTTAGCTATGTCGAAAAAGACCGCGATTGTCTTATGACGACGAGGATAAAAACCGCTGAGGATATATTCCACAATACGGTGAACTTGTTGGGGGCGTGTTGCGCTCGGAAACCGAATTGATGGGGAATGATAAGAGGGTCACCGTCTGTGGGAAACAGATAGCGCCTCATACGAGTTTGGATGACTCTTTCGAAGAGCTTGCCCATTGCCTTGAGGAGGCTAATGAGGCGATGACTGGAGGGGGAGGTTGAGAGGCTTGCCTGGCTTGGGAATACCAATCACAGTTGCCTCTTTCCACGTAGTGGGAAAGTAACTAAGGTTAAAGCAAGCGTTGAAGATAATAGATAAAAAGGTTAACACCTGCTCAGGAAAGTGTTTTAGGGCTTGGTTGAAGATGCCTTCCGCGCCTGGAGCCTTTTTGAGCTTAAGTCCTTTGATGAGGGATGAAATCTCATCATTGGACACAGAGATAGGTTCGGAGACTGTAGGGGGTGAGTTCCGGCGGCGGACCTCATCCTCCACTGCCTGGATGTGTGAGGGGTCGACGGGTTGAGAGCTAGGAGAGCATTGTGCGGCAATGCTATCTGCAAAGCACTCAGCCTTTTCCTCGTCCTCGAAGGCAACCGTACCGTCGGGACGGGAGAGAGGGGGAGTGTGGATGATAGCGTCTATGCGGAGGGCTCTAGCCATCTGATAGTACGCTGTATGAGATGGAGAGATATTCTCCATGAGTTTACTTTTTCGAGGTCTCGAAATTCAGAGAGGCGGAAACGGAGAGGAAGACGATTGGCCGTGCGCCTATATTCGGGGGTGGGATATTTTGCTGCTCTCGGAAAGCGCTTTTTGGATTTTAATAGGTTGCTAATATGTAGGGGAAGCCCACTATTGTTAGCAACCGGGACGACCCTTTCGTTATTCTTAAGGGAGGATTTAATAAGGGTGGAGAGTGACCGCGGTGTCGATTTTTTCGGGACTGTAAGTCCGACGGTAGGGAGATGGTAGAGTCCTGTGAGTCCAGAGCTTTAGCTAGGGACTCCTTGAATCCCTTCCAATTAGTGAAGGTTCGTGTAATAGTTTGGAGCTGTCCTGCGCGATTTAGGCTTCGTTGTGACGCGACGACATCGCCGCCACAGAGCCTATTAAAGAACATGCTCTACATTCTTACATATAATGAAACTGAAGAGTTAATTAAAATTTAATAGCACGTAACACACACACACACACACACACACACACACACACACACACACAGCGCGCGTGCACACGCGCACACGCACACCCGCGTGCACACGCACACACGCGTGCACACGCACACACGCCCACACGCGTGCACACGCACACACGCGCACACGCTCACACGCGCACACGCACATACGCATACACGCGCGCACAACACACACATACACACACACACACACACACACACACACACACACACACACACACACACACACACAACCTAGACCCGGAGGTAATCATTCCTATTCCAACTGTTGCGGAATCTTCTCTTGCAGGCGCTATTATTTATTTTAAATTTATTTGAATGTGATTGTTATGTGAGATAGGTACTCAGAAACATTTACAACATAAGTAAGAACCACATTAAACTGGAATCAAAAGGAGATCTATTTCCCATTAACAGAGGTGTTAGACCCACTCCCCCCACTGTTTACTGCTGTGCTGGAATATATCTTCAGAAGACTGGACTGAGATGAATATGGCCTCAACATTAATGGCAGCCTTTTAAATAATTCGAGGTTTGCTGACAATATTATCTTGCTGGAGGAAGACTCAAGTAAACTACAAGCAATGGTACAAACTCTAGCCAACAGGTACGAAGAAGTAGGTCTCAAAATGAACACAATCGAAACATACCTGATGACCATCTCTACAAAAGTTGACATAGAATTAGATGGAAAAAGACTTGAACTTGGGTCAAGTAATTGCCCCTAGCGACCAAACATCTAAGGAAATAAAGAAAAGAATTGCTGGTGGTTAGAAAAAAAGTACTGATCTCCGAAAGAAATAATGAAAAGTAACGACCTGTATTCTCCCCTGTATCACATATGGTTGTGAGACGTGGTCTCTCAACCAAAATCACCGAGAGAAACTTGCAAAATGCCAATGAGCAATAGAGGGAAGTACGTCAAGAATTAAATTCAAAGTGTCGATAACGTCGAAATAAGGAAGAAAACCAAGATTTCTGACATTCTAACTCGAATCGACCATCTGAAATGGGGCTGGACAGGTCACTTATTTCGTTGCAAGACCAATAAATGGAGCAAGCAGATAATCCTATGGTACCCAAGAGATGGCGTCAGTCAAACAGGGCCGCCCAATCAGAAGATGGGAAGACGATATTCGTCTAACCTTGTGACCACACTGGACAAGGGAAGCAGCAGACAGAACCCAATGAAAGCAGTTGAAGGAGGCCTCTGCTAAAAGTTACACCAAACTGAGGGATTTACTTTAACTCTAGCTAGTACTGCAATAGAAGCTCAAAGAGAATAATGTAACCCAAAAGTCGAAACGAATAAATAAATTGATTGATTGAAGTTCGGAAATAAATGGCTATAGAATGATTAATTTATATAGATCTTTTACGTAGACCAAAAACGTCCGTAGAGCAACATTCTTAGACCAACGTCTAAGAATGTTGCTCTGCGGAATACCTTCACATACACGTACATTCAGTATCACGTACATTCGGCTTGTCGCTTAGATCGTCGTCAACACGTAATACCTATCAGTGTTCTGTTTATAAGATTGTGACGAAACCATGTATATGGCATACCTCTTATACTTAGATTTTCGAGACGCACGCGAAGTATAGGAATAGACACAGTATCAAACGCTTTTTGCGAGTTTAAGAAAACACATATGCATTTATTACCTTTGACTACATAAGGTGTCATTTCTGAAGTCACTTGTAAAACAGCGTCTTCTGTCGAACGATGTGCCCTAAAACCAAATTGATTCACAGCTAGATATCCATTACGCTCTAGATATTTTGTAAGTCTATTGTTCAGAAGCTTTTAACTATTATTGAAAAAGTGGGTAATAAGAAATCGATCTATAATCAGACCTCTGTCACTCTTGTTACCTGCGTGAAATAATTACTTACAATTGCGAGGCGCTCTGGGTTACATACGCAGTCGGGGTTAACGCGTTCAAGGCGATTTAAAATTAAAGTTTTTTAACGCCGTTTACGTAAATAGTATTTTGTAAATACTGGCAAAACGTCGTCCCTATTGTAATGGTTGCCTAGATGGATGCTTAATGAGCAAACAAAATAATACAGATATATCATTTTTTAAATTACCGAAAGATAATGAAAGGTGAATTTATTTTATTTTTTTGTTAGTTAGTTACTTATAGCAAAAAAATAATTAAGTAATAAATCACTACAGAGTACTTTATTACAAAACTTAGTTGAAATTTACTTCACTTTCCAAATAACTACTGTTAAATGTGGATAATGTCCAGTACTATTTCAACGAGCTTGTGTTGAAGTCTCTGACCGCTCTAATATCAATGAACTGTGGTAAAGGGTAACAACTCTTCTACTCCTGTTAGGGTTACTCATGGTTGCCGAGAGTGAAATTTTAAAACCTACAATCTCCGGAACATGCAGTGACTCAGAACAAATGGCAAACAGCTCCCCTGAGCCTTTTCATCGGAAATTGATTCCAGAAATTCGACTTCAGGAAGAATTCAGGAAGGAACTATGTAGGGTCAGGGAGGAGCTAAAAGAATTTCGAAGGGATATGGTAGAACTATGGGAATCGTTAGTGATGAGTAATAAGAGAATGGATGAAATGGAGAGCAGGTTTTCTAGAACAGAAGGCTCAAAGCAATAACAACAGATCAGTCGAAATTACTGAGCTCGAAAAAACCGTTTCCCGACTCACACGTGAGCTTAATAATCGGGAGCAGGAGTTGCTTGCAGCTGACCTTGAAATCACAAATATTCCGGAAGATAGGACAGAAAACATCACTCATACGGTCGTGTTGGGGGCAGCAAAACTGGGAGTATCACTGGACGAGAAGGACATCGTTTTCGCGGATCGTGTAGGTGCAAGGAAGCAGTGTGTAGGTGCGGATGACAGTGCTGATGAGGGTCGAGGGCGGGGGCGTCGTTTTTTGTTTTTCTTTTTTAATTGTTTACGTAATTTGTATCTCTTTCTTATTGATTACCTCACGGAATACCAGAACTGAAGACTCTTTTATAGAGGACAGATGTTAGTTGTGTATTATTTACCTGTAAGTAAAAACCTTGGGGATAAAAAAAGTGCAAATCCTTCTAAAGAATAATTTCACCAAGCAGCACCTGATTCTTTATAAGCACCTTTGTACCGAAAAACCGACTCTGAAACGTTAAAATGGCGTTCGCCATCAGTGCACACACGTGGTCTCATCTCGAGATCACCATTCGAGATCACCATTCGTAATCATAATTGAACCATACTTAGAGCTAAGCTTTTTGCATTCTAAATTTATATTATTATATGGATTAACGCTGCGTACATTTCAAGAGATGTGAAATCAAGCCAAAACCATGCTTATCTTATTGTAGGAGCTGTAGTTTGCAGTTACTATTTTTTTAAGAGGATACCTTTAAAATGAATCGTAGTTTTGGGTTTCCGTATGTACAGTCTTATTAGCCGTCCTCGATGAATATCACGGACGACTGAGAGAGTGTTGAATTGAAAGTGATGCTATTACTTCATCTACGCAAATTGTACCGAGAACGCGCTCGGAAATAAACTACGTGAGTGCCGAAAAACAATTTTAACCTTTTTTTTTACAAAACTACATATTGGATTAAAAATGGTTTATATGAACTTAGATTTATTACTACGCTTATTACTATGATAATATAACGGTTTAAGACATTTATTTCTCAAAAAGAATACAATTCACTTATCATGAAAAATAACAAGTTAATAATTAGATACTAAACACATAAACTTATGAAGAACAGCAGGTACTTGTAAATGATCTGTTAAGTAGTGGATACGCACAATCTTGTTACTTGTTGTGGGTGATAAGAAAAGTACTTACTATTTCAAGATCAGTTAGAAAATAAAAGGGTTGTTTCCAACTATAAACTTTATTTCACTTTCTACAATACTACTTCGATTCCAGGTAGAAAACAAAACGGTAGATTCAAACGATTACACTTTGGTTCACTTTACAATTTAAGGCGCTACCTCCAGCGAACGACCTTGAGCGTTTGGTCTGTCGAAGCTCGCTACAATATATCGCGTAAGAAATCACCAAAAGACGCCACCTACTGCTACGATCGTAGTATTATTTTTTCAATGTCAATGAACTATTCTATGGAAATAGACACGGCGTACAATGATAAATGTATTTTAATTTTCTTTATTCGGTATATTAGTTGCATTATATTAGAATTATGTATACTAATATATTATCAAATTAATAAAAATGACTATTTTGATTATTTTTAACTATATACTTTACTGCTAATATTGAATTAGCTTTTTATAGTGTAAATTATAATATTTGTCGAAATGTTAATTATGGATTCGAACTTTACATGCTAATGGTGCTTCATTTTTGTTATTTTCATTTACTTACATATTGAAAATATACTTGAATAGTAGGTATTATTATTTTATTTAGCTACTGAATTTTAGGATATGTTTTACCTTGAGGTCAAATATAATTTTGAGGAGCAATAGTTATTACCTACTAATCTTTTATCTGCTATTCCTTATTTAGGAACAATATTAGTAAATTGAGTTTGAGGGAGATTTGCTGTTTATAATGCTACATTTATTATTTTAATGTTTACCTACTGGGTAGGTAATTATTAAAATAATAAATATAGCATTAGTAACAAAATAGATATTTTTTAAAAAATTTTAAAATTAAAATTTTCGTATTTTTTAAAAATTACTAAAAAAAAAGGGTTTGAAATAATAGATTTTCTCACAAAAGAAGGTAACTTGAAAAAAAAAGGAAAAAAAAGCGGGACCAAAGCCAAGACGCGAACCACGGAACTCCGATATCATGCCCGACCGACATACCATCTGAGCTATAACGACCGTTAGTGATTTGTCGAAATTTACCTTCTTATATTGTAGCAGTTTTTTTATTGCCTGAAAACATGGACAAAAGGACATTTTCTAAAAATAAATCCAAGCGTTCGTCGCTAAAATCTTTGGAGCCGTATAATTTTCTCATCTGGTTCGGTTATATAAATATTTAAATATATAAAAATTATAAATTAAAATGAAAAGATAAATATACATAAATATCAATAAAATAAAATAAATACAAAATAATATTATATTATTACTGTTATTATTATTATTATAAGTTGTGGTTCGGTGAAGCTGCAACCTAATGGACCATGATCTGAAATTTTTATGAAAAGAAGTGGCTGACGTCAATTATTATTATTCTTATTATTTTTTCATTACTGCCTTTTTCAACCTCACAAGATATTTGTAACTGCAAAAAAGAAAACTACGTATAAGTAAGTAAATCAGTAATATAGTGTTATGTATGATTCAGACTAAATAAAGGTTCCTAAAAATAGACGTAGATAAAGAAATTGCATAAAAAATATTAAAATAATAAGTTTTTTAGGATATTTATGTTAAACATAAAGGTTATATTATGTTCTAACTACGTTCACGCTTGCGCATATAAAACCGCGGAATTTCACTAGTTTTATTATCAAAATAATAATTGACAACCCTACCCTAAGTTTGCCTTGATTTTACCAACTCAAACTCGTTTTAGGAGATCAAAACATAGAGAGAAAGATAGGAGACTATTTTTTATTTAATATGGTTGGATCTTTATTTATTTGTATATTTTTTGTATTTATTTTATTTTATTGTTATTTATGTATATTTATCTTTTCATTTTAATTTATATTTATAAAAACCAACCAGATGAGAAAACTATACAGATACCCCAACAATAATAATATAATAATAATAATATTCCACAACTATCACACAACGCCATCTAGTCCCAAGCTAAGCAGAGCTTGTGTTATGGGTACTAGACAACTGATAAACATACTTATATATTTCTAAATACATAAATATTATAGATAAATTACACCCAGACACAGAACAAATGATCGTGCTCATCGCACAAACATTTGTCCCGGGTGGGAATCGAACCCACGACCTGCGGCATAGCAGTCAGGGTCACTAACCATTAGACCAACAGGCCTGACGATAAATAAAATAAAGTCTCTAGCTCGAGAGGAGAGGAGCCGTGGTAGCTCAGATGGTTAGCGCTTGCTAAAATTTTCACAGTGTGCGAGCAAACCGGGTTCGATCCCCGCCGGCACCAATAATATTGTAATTGCAATTTTAAGTGTTGATTTACCACGTGCTCAGTGGTGAAGGAAAACATTGTGAGGAAACCAGCATGTCTGAGAAATAAAAAAAAAATATTTCGAAGACATGCAAAGTTCGCCAACACGCAGTGATAATTCCTTTCCTAGAACCCTTTCAGAAAATAGAATAGAAATAAAAAAATAATAAATCCAAACTTCATTTAAAACCAAACATATAAATTGTAAAGTAGCTGCAGGTATCTATAACCAAGTAAAAGATATTCCTTTACTCCAACTTGTCCATGTTTCCCAAAACAATTTTTAATTAAGCTTTATATTATAATGCCGATTTTTTATATTTAAAATTTTAATAATAAAGCATTTCGTACGTCTCAGCCGAGGCGCAAATATTTTTCGGCCGCAAATTTATAAGACCGATTTGTTATTCAAACATAAACATGGTTTTTTAATTAAATCTACCAATCATAAAACGACACGCATTTTTATTGAACACTTCCTATTCAATTCACAAAGTACCTATTATATATTTGTTTATATAAAAAAGTATATTTAAGTACAATCATAAAACTAAATGGAAACACAAAGTAGGAAAATGCATTGAGTTATAAAACACATAAATCAATGGGCAAATGTAAAAATGCTGGAGGCAGGCATCCCTATCGCATGTTTACGTACCGCACGGCTGTAAGATTTATTTCTAAGATACGGCCGAGTTACAATATACCGTGACGTAAGCGCATCGGTTGGTAGGTACTCAAATAATATTATGTTTGCGGTGAAATACGGACGCGGCGACCAGCGACGCGACCACTTCGTACGAACGCATACAGCGTAATGCCGCCCGCACTCTGCGCACGCCCCTTTATCATAGAAGTCACACAATTTTCGGAATTATTTCAATTAAAAGAGAAAAAACGAACTTAAAAATTTAAATAAAACGTGGAGAATATAGATTTTTTAATTATCTATCCATTAGTGTTATCCTCAAATGATTAGAGCGTTGCGTTTAGCAACAGATGCATGTAATCAAGAATTTTAGTCATTTTTTAAAAGTTGATTTTAAATGTATTTATAGCACATAAAAATAAATTAGAACGTGGAATGCGATGATAAGATATCGAACATTAATAATGTACTTTTAGATGTAGTTTATTTTTCATAACTAATGAGATAATAGAGTCTGAAAAACGCACTTCACATTTTGGTCAGGGATTCACCTTAAACTTATACACAATTCAACTTAACTTCACGTCTTAAGGTGACTCTAGTCGACATTATTTCCATAGAAATTTCGGAGGGGTTTTACTCAAACAGCTGGAAACAGAATAGTAAACTAAAAAGTCATTAAAAAGTTACGAGCTACCAAAGATTCGTTTTTATTGCCAATTTTAACACAACTTTGGGCGTAAATTAGTAATAAAAGCAGTGTAAAATTTCCAAAACAAAGTCGGTACCGACACAGCTCAATTATCGAAAAATTCAATAAATTTTATTGGTAATTGATTC